ATGTAGGTTCCCCTTGATCCCTCGTTGTGTATGTTATATTTTGAGACTGATCATAAAAACAAAATGGATTAAAAGAAGAACTAAACAGATCTTTCTCATATTGCAATGATCGATTCTATTTCTTTCACATTAAGTACTGTACTAGTAAATATGTGAAATGACAAACTCACTTTGAAGGTTGGCTTTCATACACATCAGTATTAAGTTTAGATCAAAAGTTACCTCAAGGTGCATTTACTGTTAACTGACTCGATCAAACAGATTAGAGGAAAGAAGAGAAAAGATCGAACTGACAAAGAACTAATGAAGATAGTACAAAGGTGGGCGCCAAGATCCCTCTGGGATCTCTTGTTGCCATGTGAAATGGAAAAAAATATACCTCCCTGCCTCATCTCTTTAGAAAAAAAAAAGCCTGAGAACCAAGTAATTTTTTTTTTTTTGACCTAACATGAAATTGGTGTTTTGTATACACTTTGTTTTCTTGGTTGCTATGGGACCACAAATATAAATACAATGAATATTTCTACAACTCGAAAGAATGTACACAACAAAATTATGAAAATTATATGAACTTTATTTCAATCAAAAATGTGCACACAAAAGTATATACATTGTATGTGTATAAGTATGATCATGTAACAATTGAATACTGAAAATATTGTAGATTCTACTTTTGTATAAATGAAAGAAACTTTACTCTACCACATCCAAGGAAAGTGATTTTGGCGGTATAACAGTTTACAGTTTTAAACCTAAATGTTCACATACCAACTGAACTTATACTTTAAACATTTATTTTTTTTACTTCAGAATGCGTTTGTTTTTTCAAAATTGTAATTTAATGTATCAAATTGTTCAGCATGCAACAATACAATGTACACACGTACGTAACATTCCTGTCATCAGGATATACTAGTACTCGACTCCAATTGGCGGTGTTTAACGAGGTCAAAATAGTGTGATTTTAACCATTTGTTTTGGGAATATGATGGCGGTATGCGGGTTTGGCGTCCGCATTCATCTAGCTAACCATGAAAATTAATACATTTTGTTAGGTCACCTGAGTTTTGCTCAGGTGACCTATTCTGATCACTTTCTGTCCGTCGTCATGAGTAAATCTTTTACATTTTCGACATTTTCTCAAGAACCAGTGGATGGAATTTTTTCAAACTTGGTCAGAATCATCCTTGGTAGATGAGGCTACAACATTGTAAAATAGGGATACGTACCCCAACCCCAGGGGCCTGGGCGGGCCTCCAAGGGAAAATTAACCAATATTTCAAAATCTTCTTCTCCAGACTCTGAGGTACTATAGTCAATTTCTCTGCTTGGATGGAAAGATCATCATGTGCTTTATTGAAATTGTAAATTTCAGTAATCTCCGGCCATCCATTCTCCCTTGAGGAGGTGGTAAAGTTTACTATAGTTTATATAAGGAAATAACGCTTTTGGGTATATTTTGTTCATTTTCAGTAGGAAATTATTCTTACTTGGTGAGAATAATCCTTGGAGGAAGATGGCATCTAAATGTAAAATTGGGATTCCTGCCCCAACCCCAGGGACAAGGCGGGGCCCCGATGGGAAAGTTTACCAATATTTCAAAAATCTTCTTCTCCAGATTCAGAGGTACTACCGTCAAATTGTAAATTTCAGTATTCCCAGGTCATCCATTCTCCTTTGGGGAGGGAGTAAAATTTACTATAGTTTATATAGGGAAATAACACTTTTTCCAATATATTTTGTCCATTTTCAGTAGGAAATTATTCAAACTTGGTTGGAATGATTATGATTCCAGATGACAATTAGATGGTATGAGAAAATGAGATCCTGTCCCATCCCCAGGGGCTGGAGGGGTGGGGCCAAAATGGGGATTATTGTTAAAAAGTTAAAAAAAATCTTCATCAGACTCGGTTACTTTAATTACCTTATTGTAAATTTCATTATCCCCCGGGTCATCTGCTCTCCCTTGGGGAGAGGGTATAATTCTCAATAGCAAAATAATTTATTTGAATAGTTTTTAAGTTCTTATCCTTTGGTGACATGACAAGTATTGTATTTCACTTTGTTTACATGTTGTTTTCCATATTTTGTACATCTCGCAACACTGAAATTGAGCTACCAGTACCTATAATATAACTCAGGTGACTGCTAAGGCCCTTGAGCCTCTTGTTGTACAGACTAACTGTGAAAGTTTGTACCCACTAAATAATTTGAAAGCACCAAACAGCGAAAGTACACTTGAACATTTCATGTTGTACAATAATCTATGGAGAATGCTGAAAGTAACTGAGATCAAGTCTCTATATCTATCAACTAAGATAAAGAAGACTAGGGATTGTTTGGTTTGTTGAGCTTTACATCCTATTGACAGCTATGGTCATTTACAGAGAGTAGGAAAACCAGAGCTATGTATTCTCACAATATCTTGGGTATTTGAGTTTTCAAAATTTGAGATATTTCAGGTTTTGGAATATAGCATCACTGATAAACATTCTGTGTGTACTCTGTAACAGCAAAATAAAGAAGTTAAAGCAGACGGAGGACTCCATTGGAAGACATACCAGTGTGCAGTGAGACGCCAGGGTGTGTACAACTCCAAAACCTTCGGCAACATTGACTTTAATGAACAATTATCAGAGCCCATGTACAGATGTATCAGTGTCTGCTGGGATAAAGTTTTCAGGTGAGAGTTACTCCCATGTAATTAGGGCCCTGCATCAAAGATGGGGGTGACCTATATATATAGAAATCACTCTAGATCTGTCTGTCCGTCTGTTTGTCCACAAGTTGGTTTCCGGAAATTATCTTAGAATCTAAAAGGACTAATCTTTCTGGAAATCTTTATGGGGATAAACTATGAAATTTATATGCGCAATAGGGGTATGAAAAAAATCTCCGGTCAAGGTCACTGTTACTTAAAATAGACCATGGGGAATATGGTCCTTATCTTAGAATACAAAACACTAATATTTTTGAAATTGGAAATTATCATGTAGAAGAGGGGTTTCATAATTTCTTAGGTCAGGTTGCTTTAAGTAAACATAGATCATAGAGGGTACTGTCAGGAACATGGCAGAGCCATTGCTGACCTGTTAAATGTTCTAGGGTACTACAGTAGTGTGCTCTGTTGGAAAAGTTTTCATGTGAGAACCCATTTACAAGTGTGTGATAATTTCTCAATGATCTGTGATATCACAGGTCAAAGATAACACAGACCTCCTTTCATTGACATAAACACTGCTCTAATCATCTTCATAATGTTCTGATACAAATGTACAAAATCTGTTATTGGCTTTGCCATGAATTTGTTAGGTAAAAATAATGTTAATGTGATGTACTTTGATAGTGGCCTGCTGTGGAAAGCCTTGGAGGACTGCAAGAGTCTGCTGCTGATGACCTTGACCGTTTTCGTGAGGGATCTTTGTGATAAGCTCAATAACCTGGAAGTCCCTAGGAACCAGACTGATCGGGCCAGCACCCAGCTGTGTCATAGTACTAAAGATAAGGTGAGAATCAGTAAACACAAGCAAGTATATTTGCCTACAATAATCAGTCGGTGGGCTATTCAAAGGACCAAGGTGAGCTTATGCCATACCGTGGCGTCTGTCGTCTGTACATCCACAATTTCTTCAAGCGACTTCTTCTTCTTAACCACTGATTGGAATTTAGCTAAATTTGTATGGAAGCATCCCTAGGTGGTTGAGATTCAAAATTGTACAAATGGTGGGGCTGACCCCCCAGGTGGCTGATGGGTGAGGGCAATTTGTCTATATTACTATAAACGACTTCTTCTGTAGAACTGTGCACTTGATATCAATCATATTTGGTCATAAGCATTCATGGGAGGCAGGTATTCAAATTGTACAAATCGTAGGGCTGACCCCTGAGGGGCGGGGCCAAAAAGGGTTATTTAGCCGGGTTATTTAGCCATATTGCTTTAAACGACTACTTCTCTGGAACTAAGAGATGTATATCAACCATATATGACTGGAAGCATTCATAGGTAGTGGAGATTCAAAATTTTACAAATGGTGGGGCTGACCTCCCAGGGGTTGAGGGGCGCAATTTGGCTATATTGCTATAAATGACTTCTTCTGCAGAATTGTGCACTGGATATCAATCATATTTGGGCGGAAGTATTCATGGGAGGCAGGTATTCAAAATTGTACAAATGGTGTGGCTGACCCTCAGGGCTAAGGGGTGAGGCCAAAATAAATGTATTACTTGGAAATGGTTGAGATCCCCACCCCATAACTATACATACAATTGTTGGGCATAAAGAGGCGAATGCAGTCATGATATTAGAATTGATCCCGGGGTCTTCCCCATCCTTGCAGACTTAACCCCTGGGTCATAACTTTGAAAGTCCCTACCCCAAAAACCTATATATACAAATGCTGGGCATAAAGAGACGAGTGTAGTCATGATATTAGAATAGACCCTGAGGTTTTACCGAAACCCCAGGGACCTAGTTTCTGAGTCACAGCTTGAAAACAGCCGAGATCCCCACCCTTTAACCATGTATACAATTGCTGTGTATAAAGAGATGAATGCTCATATGCTTCCAGGATGGCCCTGGGTTTGCCCCACCCTTGGAGACTTAACCCCTAGGTCATAACTTCAAAACGGTTAAGATCCCCACCCCAAAACTATAAATACAATTGTTGGGCATAAAGAGAAGAATGAAGTCATGATATTAGAATAGACCCCGGGGTGTGCCCCACCCTTGCAGACTTTACCCCTGGGTCATAACTTTGAAAGTGTTGAGATCCCCACCCCAAAAATATATATACAAATGCTGGGCATAACAAGACGAATGCAGTAATGATATAAGAATTGATCCTGGGGTGCGGCCATAACCCTAGGGACTTAGTTTCTGAATAACAGATTGGAAACAGTTGAGATCCCCACCCCATAACCATAAATAAAATTGCTGGGCATGAAAAGCCTAGTACAGTTATGCTACAAGGATAGGCCTTGGGGTCTGGCCCATTCCCTTGAATCTCATTTGGAGAATATTTTGCCATGATTCCTTAGATATCCAGGTGAGCGATACAGGCCCTCTGGGCCTCTTGTTGCATGTAACCAAATAATGTGTTAATAATCACAAGAACTGGAAATACTATTATGATTCTCTTATATTTATAGTAAATTCTTTTGTCCTGTAGCTGGCAGAGATGCTGACAAACCTAAAGGAGTTGGTTTTATCCCGTCAGCGTGATATCAGCCGTGTCATCACTCCGACTGTCAAGGTAGATAACACAGCCAGTGCTGTACAGAAAACCCAGTCTACTGATACAGTTTACACAACTAACGTTAGTGCAGGCAAATTCCCCATGTACCCAAATTCACCACCCTGTGACAAAAATGCCATATGACGTCATAATACATGAGATGTAAATCACCATAGTCTTCAACACAGTTAAAGCCTTCAAATATTTTAACAAGAAAAGGTATAAGAAGGAAAAGGTTTTATTATTAATTTAAACAGCTCTGAAATATCTTGTAACGCAACGAATCTTAAATATTTGGTCTGTGCAACGGACATCACGTCATCTAAACTCATTTGATTTAGTGTAAATTTATGCATTACATACAAAATGAAAATACCCATATCTCGAAGCTAATTGCAGTGTTATGGTCGACTGAGACGTCAATGCAAGTAAAATGTTTTTCTCTAAGTGTACTTTGGTACATGCAATGTAGTGACAACTCATTGCTTGTTTATGGAAATGATGCCCAAAAACATTTGATTGATAAATCATTTTCCATTTTCATGCAAAGTGTATTTAGAAAACAATGAATCAGTATTTTTTTTGAAAGTATTGTTTGCGTCTAACATTCAGCCATCTTACAACACTTAAATACCATCTAAAATACCTGAATAGAATTTGTTGTCGGCCTTAAAGTACTGCTGTACAATTGCATGATTGTACATAGAGACTGACAACTAACTAGCGTTGTTACTTAAGACTGATTTTGACATGAAAAAGAAAGTACATTTACAACACCTGGGGCAGTCTCTGTTGAATAAGTTTTCAAGCCCTAAAAAAATCGTTTTAATTTGTCAGATTTTTTCCATTGACGTGCAGGACGATTGGAGATATACATGTGACAAATTATCAACAAGTCGACCGTTGAAAGCCCAGGACCCTATCATCCAGAACCCATGAAAAAGATAATTTTGGGCACCAATTTGGAATTTATATTTGTTCAGGACATGAGCTCTTGCGATGCATGTTAATTCACCTCATCTCAGCCGATCCCAGCCATCTTATTCAAACGGCATTAACCAGTTTCTTTAAGTTACCGAAAATTAACTATCACGACTAAGAAAAAACTTTATTTCAATGGTAATCATTGTTACACACACACATTTGGAGCTGTTGGTATCCGTATGACTTGTGTAACATAAACATACAAAATTTTACAGTTAAACAGTTACATTACTTGCAAATTAGTGAAATGTTTGAAGGTGTCAAAACTGCCTGCACCTTCGAGCAAAACCACGGAAGGCCTGATGACGTCACAAATGTTGCTGGGTGATGTCATGCAGGCGTTTTTACAACAATGTTTTTTATAGGAATTTCAGCCAAATCTGCTTCTGTACTGGTGCTCATCGGTATTTTGAGGCATGGTATATTTGGAGGAGTTATAAACTGAAATAATTTCTAACGTGACGAATTTGCCTGCACTAACATTAGTTCATCACAAGACACGGTAACACTATTAAACCGTACTGGTTTGTCTTCTTTTTTTCTTTTCTTTTTCATAAAAGTTGTAAATAGTGTGACTTTCAAGTTTCCTAATGCCACGGAAGAGTAATTTAGATATTTCAAAACAATGTTGTTATTATTAATTAATATTTGGTATATTGGGAGACCTTAAAAGCTATAAATAGTGATAAGTCGATACTGAAAATATATATCTTCTAGCGAAAATTTACGTATAGTTGATAATGACATGACCTGAAGCCAACGTCCAGTGTGGTCAGTTTCATCTTTTGGGAAAGCCGGTGATAAAAATAGCTACAACCGTAATAGACCATATCCGGGCCTTTCAGTGAGAAGTAAACAGCTCTACGCAGTCGACCGACAACACAGTGTCAGCTATGAGTCTGAGTTCATACATTCTTGAATTTGCACAATATATCGCAAGCAAGAATTAAAAGTATCATAATATATACCTACAATAAGATATTTCTGTTCACATTTGGATTTGAATAATAACGAACAGGTTCAGTTAGAGTATGCACGCACTGAGAGGGTACCGGATTGAGAATTTCAAACCGCAGAAAGTATAATATTAATAGATTTAAACGTAAAATAAATCACTCATTTATAACAGTGTTTGAGATGTTGTTGGAAGATGGTTTTGATTCAGAATAAATGCATGAATTTGTATTCTAAAGAGGCTAGGTGAATAAAGCATGCATTTACCTTCTCTCCTCTGCTAGAAAGACACTTTTGTTAGCTAGTTATTCACCAACAACTGCTGCTAAAACGTATGGCTGTACAGTTAAGGATTTCTCCTTTACTGATTAAAAATGCCAAGAAAACATTGTCTTTTGTCAATTTCTCGACATGAGTTGTTCATAAGGAGTATCAAACTATACAATCATGAAGAATTCTGTGATAAGGTTATAGAACAAAACTTACTTCACTAAATTGTCCCTTTAAAATTTGATGCATATTTCATCACTTTTAAACATTTCTGTCTCTGTTCCAACATGAGTCTGCGAGAAAAGAACTTTTGAATTATGCTTGACATCTTAATATTTAAATGTGACTATCTTCAACACAGGATAACCTGGATCATATTTATAATTACTGTGGAGGGGAGGCAGGCTCAGGGATGTTTATGAGGATGAAACAGGCCATGGAAGAAGGGGTGGACTACAAACGTCGCAGCATGTTTGATCAGGCCTCTCACTTGCTGCTTCAGGAACTGGAAGAGCTTAAGGTAAGTACAATGTTTTTCTCCTGGCTAGTTGGGGAATTTTAACATTAATTGGAACAGAAGACTTTTGAGTATCTGTCATGATGCTAGAAGAATTTCAATAAAACCAAAAATGCAAAGCTAAATGATATTGGATGTTGAAATACAAATTAATGGAGACACCTCAGACACAAAGAGAAGGTCTTTAATTTGGAAAAAACACACTTTTGATAGATGAAAAATTCAATTTGTGCACCTATGAAACATGATTGGTGAGATTCAGAATAAGTATTGAATATATAATTGTTTTAGGTGGAGATTGTGTCACATGTGCGTTCCGTGTGTGTGTCGCTGTGTCTCATGCTTCAGGCCGCGTTTGAACCATTATGGGAGGCACCAAGTCAAACAAAGCTGCTCAAGGATATCCTGTTTGAAAGTAAGTATACCACATTATAATAAACTTGTCTATGTCTATGTTAAACACCTTCTATTCCAGTTATCTTAGACTGCATTCCGATTGGCATATTCATGTCGCTAAGTACTTTTTACAATCCTGCCTTTGCATTTGAGGCAAAAATAATGTATCGGTAACTTTTTTTTCCTAACACTAAACAATGGTTAATGGTCTGTAATTCACGGAATTGAAGTGAAGCGTGATCACGGCAAATTATAATGGAGATAAAAGGTGTTTCATATCACATGTATCTATTTCATAACATGCTCTAATGATATATTCGTACGAGCAAGCGCCCATGGTGTGACTCGAGATACGCTGTTTACCTGTGTACAGGTAAGACGGGGATGTATAAATGCACATGCTCATGGCTCTCTGTTAGTGTATACACATAACTACTAAAAATACATTCTCAAAATATTTCTCGCAAGGAAACGGTCGTTAATGTAAATTGTGTTATATGATCATATAATGATGCATTGTGTCCTGTCAATGTGTCAACACACTCAATGCCAAACGTAGGTACACCCTGCTAATTTACACAAACAATGTTTGTTTGTTTTGCTTTTGCTTGTTATGGTTTGGGTGTAGCTGCGTTTGTCGGTCTGTATGCTATATAATAGGGTAAAAGACATCTTTGAGGCCAAGTACTGTGGAACGCTTTCATGCCACGTAATCTTAAGATATAGTTAAGATGTATTATTTGAATCGTGCCGTAATTTGCGTTTTTCTCAGTGTTTAACTGATCGTAGATGAAATAAAAATGAGGTAAGAGTGGGATGAGGACGTTTCACAGTACATCATGTAAATATAGTTTCGTACAAGAATGCAGTATTGTGTTGTCTTTCAAAAACAGTAGGCATATATTGGTAATGTACACGACCTCACAGGCGAGGGGCACTCAATAAATGGCAAGACAAAAGGTATATGTATTATTACACTGAGGTCGTCCGAGTGGAGTACCTCTACCTAGAAGTACAATGTAATGATTATTTGTATAGTTTACATACTTTGGATTTTTGGGGTGTCAGGGAGGGTCAGGTGGGGAAAAAAGGGAACTACTTTCGGTTTGATTCACACAAGACATGTAGTAAACTTTTAATATTACACTCGAGTCACTGGTAAGTGCAATACAATGTATTGATTTATCTAGGAGAACATATTTTCTACCTTCGGATGTTTGTAACAGATATAAATGGGTGAATTAAATATAGCATGTATAAACTGTAGAGGTCAATCAGACAGTATAAAGAGAAAAGATGTTTTTGACCTATGCAGGAATAAAAAATATGATAATTCTATATTAATTGATACTCATTAAAACATCTATGGAACGACAATGGAAACATGAATGGGGTTTAGACTGTCATTTTTGCTCCCACACTGGAAATAGTCGTGGTATTGTTATACTACTTAACAACAGTTTTGAATATACTATTCATTGAGACTTAACGGATGAGTTTGGCAGTTTCATTATTCTTGACATTACAATTCAGAATCAAAAATTAACTCTTGCATGTATATATGGTCCAAATACTGACTCTCCTGAATTTTTTCACCGTCTGAAAAGAAATAATGACTTCTTTGATAACGACTCGGTTATTATTACTGGAGACTTCAATGCGGTTATGTTTTTTGAAAAAGATACACATAAATATTCTAGAGAAAACAATAAAAATGCTAGGGCAACTATACTTGATATTATGGAAGAATTAGATTTAATTGATATTTGGAGAAATCAACATCCAGAGGTAAAGTGGTATAGTTGGTTTGGTCCAGGTGGAAAATGTAGCCGTTTAGATTACTTCCTTATCTCATCTGATCTTCAGCCTTTTGTCACTTTTTAGCTCACCTGGTCCGAAGGACTATGGTGAGCTTATGCCATACCGCAGCATCCGTCGTCCGTTGTCCGTCCGTCCGTCCGTCAACATGACACGCTTAAACGCTACTAGTCATGAACGAGTGAGCAGATTTTGACCAAATCTGGTCAAAAGCATCCTCGGGGAAAGGGGAACAAATGTTGTATAAATGGTGGGTCTGGCCCCCCTGGGGGCTGAGGGGCGGGGCCCAATAGGGGAAATATAGCAAATTATTTAAAATCCTTCTTCTTCTGTAGGAATGAAAGGATTTGTTCCATATTTGGTCTGAAGCAACCTTGGGTGAAGGGGAACCAATTTTGTATAAACCGTGGGTGTGGCCCCCCAGGGGCCTGAGGGGCGGGGCCCAATGGGGAAACATAGCAAATTATTCTTTAAAATCCTTCTTCATCTGTAGGAATGAAAGGATTTGGTCCATATTTGGTGTGGAGCATCCTTGGGTAAAGGAGAACCAATTTTGTATAAACGGTTGGTGTGGCACCCCCTGGGACTTGAAGGGCAGGGCCCAATAGGGGAAATATATGTAAAACCTTTATAATCCTTCTTCTACCATAGGGATTAAGGGATATTTTCCTAATTTAGTCTAGAGCATCTTAGGCAAAAGGGACTCAATTTTGTATAAACGGTGTGTCTGACCCCTCTGGAGGCAGAGAGGCGGGGCCCAATAGGGGAAATAGAGGTAAAACCTTTAAAATCCTTCTTCTACCATAAAGATTAAGAGATTTCATCCGTTAAATTTAGAACATGAAAATGCAGAATACTACTTGTCGCAGCCAATTTGGTTTAATCACAATATAAAAATAGATAATAAGACAGTATATTTCCAAACATGGCAAGAACGGGGTATAAATAAGGTAGCAGATTTATTTGAAAATGACGGCAACATAATGCCTTTCGGAAATTTCAAGAAAACTTTAATTTTCTGGACATGAACAGAATCCGTTTTTATGGTGTTTTAACAGCCATCCCAGGGTCGTGGAAAAGGTCAATTCGTAATCGGGGCAGTAATAATACTAGAGATAAAGAAAATATAACGCTTATAAGAACGTTGACAAAACCCACCAATATATTTTATTCAAAATTAGTTTGTGCAATTTTAACTACAAACCAAAAAGCAATGGAAAAAATTGTCTCAAGACATTACAAATTTAGATATTTACTGGAAATTTATTTACTCGATACCAAGAAGTTGCACTCATGATGTTATTTTACAAAATGTTCAGTATAAAATCTATCACAGAATACTATGCACAAATATGCTTCTGTTTAAATTTGGTATAAAAGATGATAAAAAATGTACTTTCTGTAACTATGAAGATATGTGTCATCTTTTGTGGCAATGTATCCATGTGTGCACTTTTTGGAGAACTTTTTCAGACTTACTATATGTAAAATGTAATATAGAAATTGAAATAAGTACAAAGGAAGCCATCTTAGATTACTCCGGCGAAAACAATAACACATTGCTAAATTTCTGCTTTTTGATAATAAGACGTTACATATACATCTGTAAATGTAAGTCTAGTATACCGTCAATAGAAGGTGTCTTAATATTTTTAAAACATCATCAAAAATTGAATATTTAGCTTACAAATTATACAGATAAAAAAAAGTTCACGAAGTAACTGAAAAATGGCGCCCATTGGAACAGTTATTTAACTAATTAGCAATTACCTGAAATCAGAAAAAAAAGTAATAGTAGAAAGAAACTGTATTTTTAAACAATTACTATTGAAATGATATAAATGATCATGTAATATGTTTTACTGGCTTTGTGTGAACCAAAATTGAATAAAAAATAATCATTACAAAAAAAAAAAGTATACCACATATTAATCTGGTAAAGGGTTCAGGGCAGGCCCTGCAGTTAGTTGACGTACAACTATAAAATATATAGTACACTCTGTACTAGACATTCTAACACTGACTCAAACTTATATTATACTCATATACTATGATGAGTTCAGGGGTCATCTCAAAAGTTTTGCTAAATCATATTGCTTTTTATCCACCGTAAGCTGTATAGTGAGGCAGACTCGTATAATCTTTTATCTTTCCCAAGTTATATGGCAAGGCAGAGGTAAACTATACATAGTGTTTTATCTACCCACAAGTGATGGGAGAGAGGGGTGTTGGACTTCACCTCCAGACTGTTGTTAACACCTCGTACTGTTCCCAGGACATCGGGTGAATGAATTGTGAATATTCCTGTAAATTCAAATAAATAATGGATATTCTTGTAAACCTAAGTAGCTGGTGAACATTTCTGTAAATTTAAGTGTCAAGACACATCTAAACAAGGGATATCTATGAGTTACAGAACCCAGTCACTACATACACTTTGTAGACACTTATCAGTAACTTTGAAAACCTGTTTTAGGTGTGACAGATGCTGTATTGTCTGTGACTGGTCTTCACACGGATGCAAACCTCTCTCTGCCTGTCGCACCAGCCCGAGACTCGTCTCCCGATCAGGACAGTCCTACCCCAGCCGATCAGATATTATCTGACTCGGCTAATCAGGATCCGAATGTCAATGTCTCCTTTCCTGGTCCCTCTGGCCTACAGGTTGCCAACACGACTCCTGTTGGCCCCCAAATGTATACAATGACCTATGGAATGACACAAAAGTTGGTGACTGATGCCCATGGCAAGGCTCAGCACGTTTCCATGGAAACATCAAAGTCTGCACAAGTGACAGATGTGTTGAAGCACCTGAAGCAGGAGCCAGGGTCCACCAAACTGCTATCCAACACTTCAGTAAAAAAGGAAAGGGAAGCCTCCAGCAACTTCGCAGGTCAGTAGAGATTTGAAATATCATTTGACGACTAGGCTTGTTAAAAATACAAATATAAATTCAACTTTGTACATAATAAATATTTCCCTTTCCCTGTTCAAAGGTTATATATGTAAGACCAATAGGTGGTTCAATGATAACATTATTTACTAAACTTTCCTAAAATACCACTAGAGAAATCAAATATAACCGATAAAGCCACAAAAAATGACACAAAATGAAAGAAAGAATGGTTTCGACCTTGGTTGAACCTGTTTTGAAGGCAAGTTGTCTAGTCAAACAGCTTTTAATTGTCACGCTATTGATGTGGTTTACTTGATAAACTTAACGATAACTTATATTTAATATTTATTTACCTGTTTATGATCTGTATATAAGTGAAGGAAACTGTTAACACTACCTTCCTAAGACATGCCATGTAACTACACTAGGAAATCTCATGATTTTCTTCTTTCTTTTTTTGGATCCAATTCCCTATATTGTATTTAGCAATTTAAGCAGGCAACACATCCACTTCCATCAAATTCTTACTTTCTGAAAAAACGGTCAACACTAAAATCTAGATGTTAATTTGAATATTAAATCATTTACACATGTATATACCTGGGATGTATTTGCCTTGTAGAAGTTTCGGGACCTGAGCTGAGATGGCTGCAGAATACCTTACCCAACCTGGATCAATATACAGAAAATGTGTCTTCTGTGGGGCAGTCTAATTCTGGACCAATACGTATGAACTCCTCGGACATAAGTCAACCTCAGCATGGAATACAGCCTGTAAGATCCCCAAGGTCTGGACTTTCACCTCGAGTCTCCTCAACCATAACCCAGCCCCAGTCTGGATTATTTTACCGAGTCTCCTCAGCCATAAACCACCTTGCAGGTAGTTCACAGTCTGGTGGAACCCCCAGGTCTGGATTTTCGCCTCGAGTCTCCTCAGCCATAAACCATCCTGCAGGTAGTTCACAGTCTGTAGAAACTCTGAGGTCTAGACTTTCACCTCGAGTCTCCTCAATAATAACACAGTCCAAGGAAGGGACACAGTCTGGACTGTCATCTCAGATCCTGTCAAGCTTAGCTCAGTCACAGTCTGTAAAAAACCCCAGGTACAGTGATCATTCTGATACAACACAGGTTGTTACAGCACCTCCAGACAGGATTGTGAAACGTAATAGTTCTACCACCACTGGTGTTCATCAGTCAGCAGACGGTACTGCCAGGCGACAGGGAACCATGGGTCTAGGTGACATATTGTATTCTACTGTTACGAATCACTTAACTGACATGTTGGTTCCTTCTGCGCAAAATTGTAAGTCTGCGTCCACATCTCAACCTGCTAACAGTGTAAGAGAGCAGACTGTGTCAGCCATGAACAGCTTATTGCAAAAGGGTATTAGTATTACTAATCTATCAGGAGTAGCAACATCAGGATCAGCACTGGGGGCATCAAGATCACAAGGAAATCAACAGACAATGCCAAAAGCAGGTAATTTCAGCTTGCAACCTGGAGGCTGCAAAAATGTCCAGCCTCAACCTGGGATAAAAAGAGGTAACATTCCGCCTTTGTCTCCCAGAAATAGCCAAAATCAACAAGCTACAAACATTCCTACTGCAGTACAAGTGGGAAAAAATATCTTATCAGCATTGAGTTCTTCAAATGCCTGTAAAACGCTGGTATCAATAGTCAACAAAAGGTTGGTAACTCAGCTTCAAACCAAACACCAACAATCCTCCTCCACAAGTTCTAGTAATTCATTCAGTGCTTCACCATCGACAAGTGATAGGAGTCCTACCTTTACCAATTGTCCACCTGTCACTGGAACATCATCTTCTAACAGGGGAAGGTTAAGGCTCAGTTTGAGGAAAACCTCTGCTCCTGAATCTCCATTGAACTCCTGTACACGCATCAAACAGGAGCCGGTAGAGAGGGACACTGGCCAACAACGAAGGGTCAGGAGGGCCAACAATAGCAGCCGTAAGTATGTTCACTACTGCTTAGAATGTAGTGTGTCATTTGGCCTTAGTTGGTCAAAAAATGAAAAGCCCCAAACAGAAATATATACATAGAAAGTTGTTAGTAGAATGTGCATATTCACTGCCAATAATGTATTTAAATTCTTTTGATGCTAGCTGAAAAAAGTGTTTTTATTTTGTTATGTATAGTGTACAAACAGATGTGATGTAAATAAAAAGCATGTTAACTAAAAAGACTTACCAGGTAATACTGAATAGCAGGATATTTCCCTTGGGATGATATTTTCGCAATTTCGTGTTTTTTTTTCTTTTTTTACATTTCATATGCCGTGGGTCCTGTCTCTGTGCTCAAACACTGCGAAAATTTAGTTCCTTCATATGTCTAGATCACGAAATTGTAATCTGTAAATTTTGTTTTCTAATTTTGGGACAAAATCGAAAAAATTGAAGTCCTTGCAAATAACCTGCTAAACTGTAACAACCTTAAATAACTTACAGTCTCTTGAAGTTGGTATGAACATCCTACTCTGCAGATTAAGTAAACATTCACACACTACTAGCCTATATAATTATAAACATGTAGTCTGAATTCAGATGATAATCAATTTAACTACCATAATTTCTGTTATTTTTCCAGTTGGATTAATAAATTTGTGTGACAGCAGCGACAGTGAAAACTGACAACCAGAGAAACCACAAAGACAGATACAGCAGTGTAATCCACACAAAGACATATACAGCAGTGTTAATCGTACAAAGATACAGATACAGCAGTGTAAACCACACAAATATAGATACAGCAGTGTAAATCACACAAAGATACAGATACAGCAGTGTAATCCACACAAAGACAGATACAACCATGTAAACCACACAAAGACAGATACAGCAGTGTAATCCACACAAAGACATATACAGCAGTGTTAATCGTACAAAGATACAGATACAGCAGTGTAAACCACACAAAGATAGATACAGCAGTGTAAATCACACAAAGATACAGATACAACAGTGTAAACCACACAAACACAGATACAGCAGTTCAAACCACACATATAGATATCACAGTTTAAACCACACACATAGATACAGCAGTGTAAACCACAAAGACAGATACAGCAATGTAAATCATACAAAGATACAGCAGTGTAAACTGCACAATGACACAGATACAGCAGTTTAAACTACACAAAGACACAGATACAGTAGTATAAACTTAACAATGACACAGATACAGCAGTTCAAACCACGCAATGACACAGATACAGCAGTTCAAACCACAAAGACAGATACAGCATTTCTTTCTACCGAGGCACATGAGTGTAAACCACACAAATGCAGTATATTTCTTCTTCTTATAATGATATAGGAGTATTGTCAACACGGACATCTTCACCGCATAAATGTCTTCCTGCTCTGGTACATGACATCATTTTGATTGTGGGTTACCTTACAATGCTCCACAGGTACACATGTCCTCTGTAGGTGTATATATTTACATGCTTCAACACATGTTTTATTCCTTAACTTTTATGTAAATGCATGTTATAACATGGTGTAGAGAGTGGGCTGTCTGACCAAGTGCAATGAACTAGATAGCTTATACAAATTCTATTATGATCTCTTTGGAAGATTAAAACTCATAAATGGCCATAGATTGTCAGGAAAAATTAATGAAAATTGTGATTTTATTGAAGTTCAATAAGGCTTTGTAGTTTTGTATTTAAATGCAATTGCCATAGATTATCATAAACAATTGATAAAAATTGTGATTTCATTGAATTATGATAGGATCTTTGCAGTTTTGTATTTTAATAATGTAATGTAATTGACTTGGATTATCATAAACAATTAATCAAAATTGTGATTTAATTGAATTATGATATGAGCTTTGCAGTTTTGTATTCTAATGTAAATTGAACTTTTCCCACTTATGAAATCTATGCTATTAATGGTCCACGGGAAGTATGTACTGAGGGTAAGATCTTAAATAGAGTTAAAAAGTTTAAACATACAGTAATAATTGGTGACGAACTAAAGAAGAATTACAGATACGGTGCTCCGTCCGTCCGTCCGTCCTTCGTCAACATTTTACTTTAAACAACTTCTTCTCAGTAACCAAATGGCCTAGGGTGATGATATTTGGCCAGAAGCATGCTGGGATGAAGGGCTACCAAGTTGGTCACAGGGGTCAAATATGTTTAAAACCTTTCAACAACTTCTTCTGAATAACCGATAGGCCGAGGGTGATGATATTTAGCCAGTAACATGCTGGGATAAATGGCTACCAGGTTTGTTCAAATAAATGACCTTGACCTATATTCAAGGTCACAGGGGTCAAATATGTTTAAAACCTTTAAACAACTTCTTCTGAATAACCAAGAGGCCTAGGGTGATGATATTTGGCCTGTAACATGCTGGGATAAATGGCTACCAAGTTTGTTCAAATACATGACCTTGACTTATATTCTAGGTCACTGGGGTCAAATATGTTTAAAACCTTTCAACAACTTCTTCTGAATAACCAAGAGGCCTAGGGTGCCTAAATTTGGCCAGTAACATGCTGTGATAAACGGCTAACAAGTTTGTACAAATAAATGACCTTGGTTTAAATTCAAGGTCACAGGGGTCAAATATGTTTAAAACCTTTAAACAACTTCTTCTGAATAACCAAGAGGCCTAGGGTGCCTAAATTTGGCCAGTAACATGCTGTGATAAACGGCTACCAAGTTTGTACAAATAAATGACCTTGGTTTATATTCAAGGTCACAGGGGTCAAATATGTTTAAAACCTTTCAACAACTTCTTCTGAATAACCGATAGGCCGAGGGTGATGATATTTAGCCAGTAACATGCTGGGATAAATGGCTACCAGGTTTGTTCAAATAAATGACCTTGACCTATATTCAAGGTCACAGGGGTCAAATATGTTCAAAACATTTAAACAACTTCTTCTGAATAACCAAGAGGCTAAAGGTGATGATATTTGGCAAGTAGCATGCTGGGATGAAGGGCTACCAAGTTTGTTCAAATAAATGACCTTGACCTATATTCAAGGTCACAGGGGTCAAATATGTTTAAAACCTTTCAACAACTTCTTCTGAATAACCAATAGGCCGAGGGTGATGATATTTGGCTAGAAGCATGCTGGGATGAAGGGCTTCCAAGTTTGTTCAAATGAATGACCTTGACCATCTTTCAACCTAATGTCATTGTTTGACATTCAAGGTCACACTGATGTTCTGCCTGTAGCTGTATTTTAGTCCACTTTTAAGATTACAAGTGTGAGATTAATACCAGGTGAGCAATGCAGTCCCATTGAGCCTCTTGTTACACTGTAGCAGGAGTTTATTTTGAGGTTGAAATCTGTAAACATGAAATTCATGTGAAGCCCTAATTTTTACACCATTTCTTATACTTATTTGTAATGTTAACTACCAGTTATGTTATATTTTAATTGAACATTAGATCTAGTTTGAAATCTGGCCATCATATGCATTAAACTGACTTTGTTTTTTTCGAAATTTGTGATATTTAGCTCACCTGCCATGGTGCAGCGTCCGTCATTCATATGTCCGGCGTCAAATTTTTACTTTAAACAACTTCTTTTCAGTTACCAAAATGCCTAGGATGATGATAGTTGGCCAGTAGCATGCTGGAATCAAGGGCAACCAAGTTTATTCAAATAAATGACCTTGACCCACTTTCAAGGTCACTGGGGTCAGATGTCTTACAATCTTCAAACAACTTCTTCTCAATAACCAAAAGGCCCAGTGTACTGATATTGGGCCTGTATCATGCTGGGATGAAGGACTACCAAGTTTGTTCAAATGAATGACCTTGACCAAGTTTCAAGGTCACAGGGGTCAAATGTTGTAAAATCTTTAAACAACTTCTCAATAACCAAAATGCCCAGGGTACTGAAATTGGGCCTGTAGCATGCTGGGATGAAGGACTACCAAGTTTGTTCAAATTAATGACCTTGACCCACTTTCAAACTAATGTCCTTGTTCGACATTCAAGGTCACAGGCATCATTTGTTTAAATCTTTAATAGGTTCTTATGAATCAAACACTGATATTTTGCCTGTAGCTATATTTTAGTCCACTTTTAAGATTACAAGTGTGACATTTATACCAGGTGAGCGATGCAGGCCCATTGGGTCTCTTGTTTAAATTCTGAAAACTATCACACTTTATTTAAACATCATTTTTCATCCACCAATTGCATTTACGATGCATTTCTTTTTTTATATATTTATAGATTAAACACAGTTTAACAGATATCTTAAACATATGCAGCTTAGCAATGATAATTATACAAACCAGAGCATTAACAGACCATTATGTATTCAAGTCAGTTTATATTTACATATAAACATTGATGATGGCCCTATATCCTATTGAGGGGAAATGTTGCAGGGCGCTTTCAATATTTCTAAGATACTTCTTTTCTTCTTAAAGAATATCAATATTTGACCAAACTTTTAACAAGTCAGCACTAGAATAACTATAGAGTTCATACTGTCAAAAATGATAGTATCATGCATTTACGAAATAAAACCAGTTATCTCAACATGTTCGTGCTGAACATTTGTCTTTTTTAAATAAATGTATTACTATTGTTGCAATTATTTTATACTTTAATATTGATATGAAATACCCATAGTATGAGTTATGATCACCGTTAAGAAGTTGACAAGTTACCAGGTACATTATATGTACATGCAACCAGTACAAATGGGCGCTCTGGGATGTTAATATGATAATTCAGTAATCAAATAAGATTTAAATTTCAGATATAGCAGTTTATTAATTGATGTCACAATTAAGTTTCAAATCAAACATGTTTTCATCGGTTTTGTATGTTTCAAGATCTTGGGTACTTATGTGAAATATGCTTACAATTATGTTCTTGTTATTTTACAGTACGCCTGGGGGTTACTTGTGTTTATTTTAATACAAATTGATATAACAAGTGTTTAGAACCAAAGTTACCATGGTGACAATTCAACCATGTACAATACCATTTTATTATTGGGTTTCATTGTTCAACTTTGTTCAAACAAACTGCATTTTGTCACAACCAATTGTTTTTAATGGGGGTGTAGATGTGTTCAAATCCTCTGTGCTATGAACTCATTTTAACATTTTATTTTTCCATTTATTCTACCTATGTGTTCTTTTTTTAAGAAATGGTTGTATTATTGACTTTGTTTTGGATTTTAATGTGGGATAAAGGTACGACCCGTAAAATCTAGTCGGGATGATATTGGAGAGGGTCCGAGATGCATTTGGTGTAATTCAGTTGTCTTCGTCTGAACACATTCACCCCTGAAATTTCACCATGAACTATTCCAACCTTTGAATTGGAAGAGTTTGAATATGTCTTCAGGGGTGAATGAGTTAAATACATTTTATAGAATCTTAAAGAACGATTGCGCATAATAAAACCCTAATCAAAATGTTCGACTTTAATTGTAAGATTATTTCTATTTTTTAGCTGTTCATTTTACATTTTTTTATTACCATAATGTAGATCTAGGTGAAACCTGTTATTCTGCTCTTATCCGTTAAACCACTGTAGACCATAATGGACTCAACCAGATTGATGTATGGTAGAGTTTTCTTAAGTTACATAGGGGTGAAAGGGTTATTATGCATTGTTGACTCATTTCTAATGAGAAGTTGTAAAAAACAACATGTTTGCAGTTTTCCAGTAGAAGGAAGGTGCTTGCCATTGTGCCAATGATTTATCTTGATGATTACAATATGTAATAATAAACATTATATATAATATGTTATACACATCTTGTTATATATTGTATACTGTTGTAGTAATAAACACCTGAAGCCTTGCCTCCAAGGTCATGGTTCTGAGTTATCCTGGGTACTCCTAGAGCACATCCCAGGTCATGGTCCTGGTTGTCAAGGCTTCTCCTGGAACACATCCCAGGGCATGGTCCTGGTTGTCAAGGCTTCTTCTGGAACACATCCCAGGCCCTGGTCCTGGTTGTCAAGGCTTTTCCTGGAACACATCCCAGGCCCTGGTCCTGGTTGTCAAGGCTTCTCCTGGAACACATCCCAGGTCATGTGTCTTGGTTGTCGAGGTTTTTCCTGGAACACCTCTTAGGCCATGTGTCATGGTTGTCAAGGCTTCTCCTGGAACACCTCCAATGTCATGTGTCCAAGTTATCAATGCTACTCCTGGAACACTTCCCATGCCATGTGTCCAGGTTGTCAGGGCTCCTCCTGGAACACCTCCCATGTTATGGTCCATGGTTGTCAAGTCTTCTCCTGAAACACCTCCCAGGTCATGGTCCATGGTTGTCAAGGCTCTTCTTGAAACACTTCCAGGTCAATGTCCATAGTTATCAAAGTTCCTCCTGGAACACTTCCCATGTCATGGTGCATGGTTGTCAAGGCTAGATTGGCCTCTGGGTCCATCCCACCCCTGGTAACTTAGTCTCTGGGTCACTACATGGAAATGGTGGAGATCCCTACATTTTAATCATACTTGTTTATATATAATTGCAGGGCGTGAAAAGTGAACACAACCATGCTTCTAGAATTGGCCTTGAGGTCTGACCTCGCCATAAGCTTATGGGCTTTGTCCCAAAGTCATGGAAACATTCGAGATCCAAACTGGATAACAATATGTAAAATTACATTAGGACTGGTACTACTATACTTAGGGTTTATTTGTAATACACCTTTAAGTGAGAATATTTTGCAATAGTTGCTTGAATGTCCAGGTGAGGATACATGTGAAGGCATCTCGTTTTGAATCGAACAGTTCTCATCTAATTTCACTACAGTATAGAAAATAATATAATACATAACATATAATAATAATCATTTATTTCATTCCGAAATTCAAATTAGTCTACATGGTCATCACAGTGTAAAAAAACACGGGATATGGTACATATTTCAGTGAATAAATTAAAATAAGATTAAATAAATAAAATAAGTTATAAAATTGGGACTAAGCTACGAGGTCTGGTGTTGGGGAAGGAAGGAATGCTAAATTGTGTATACACATGGTGCAGGGTAAAGTACAATTGACCACAGGCATTTGAATTCATTAAATATATGAATCGCCTTTCATTTCATATAAATGCTTCAATTAGGAAACATTTATTTCACCACGGATGTCGATTATTTGAACGGTCGTTTCTAATTATGTGTAAAAATAAATATTCAGGTCCCGATTATGCTGTAAATAAGTAACGAGATAGCCCAACGTTGGTTCCACCCCGTAGCAAGATTGCTGTTAAGGTGCTGTATTTTGTACGTTTATTTTGCCATTGACAACAAGTGAGTTAAAGCCAAAAACATTGGCTTAGTTGCTGCAATACCGAAAATTAATAAAAACCAAGTTACCAGTAGATTTAAAACAGAAGCCAGCACGAAAGGATAGGTAGAACACAATTGATGCTGGAGCATCCCATTTTACCTTTATAAACCCACGGGTTGTTGTAGTGTCTACGGAGGTAAATGAGCACGTTTGGTTTATTCTCCTAATATTGATTTGTGAACACTTTCTCTGGACATGGCCATTGTCGTTAAACCAGACGATGGGCTTATCACCGGACATGGCCTTAACACCGGTAAAACTAAGTGATTAATGCAATGTTGATTTGTTTCGATACAGATGTAAATAACCGGAGACAGCTCGTATAACGTCTCCTAATCTACAGTAAACTGTTTGAATAATTATAATAAAAGAATTGCCATTTGTAAATCACACGGGGAGAATAGCATACTGTCTGGAATGGATGGGGAGGGAAGAGGGACGAAAACAAATGTCTTGTTGAAAATTGACCAAATACACAAAATATATACAAAAATACTCTCACGGTCCGCTGAGCAAACCCAGAACATGGCATCTCCCGAGCAAGTATTGAGCGCCGTGAAGTTTACCGGCAGGGTCACCGTTGATGGATGAACTGTTCAGATGATGACAATGACTATTGAGCAATCTCAAGAAAAAAGATTGAGTCAGTATATGGGATATTGATGAGGAAAAATCGCATGTAAACTGATATTGTTTGGTGTATACCTAAACACGACTCGAGCCGATGCTAAAAAAGTGTAAAAGGACGTAAACTGATTTGGTCACAAGTCCGACTTGTGAGCATTGTCAATACAATATTTTATACAGCACGACTTATGAGCATTGTCTATACAATAATTCATACAACATGCAAAACAATGCTATTGTACCCAAGTATAGTACATTATATATGTAAACATACAACACATCCTCACTGCACCAAACTCGTCCCGACGTTTTCTTAATATCGCACGGCACAAATTACTTTCACATGTTGCCATAGTTAAATAAATGCATCAATCCTGGCTTACATGATTGTTTTCGGAAAATGGAACACTTCAAATGTTAAATCGCTCTCCTTTCATGGGCGTTCATGCTTTCATCGTCATACAACACACGTGAACTCTAATGGACGCTTTACATACTATCGCCAGTAGCATCATTCTCTGATACTAGTGCTTAGTTGGAGCACGAAGGTCTACATATGTCTTGACTGTTTTGTCAGAGCGGTTACGCCTTACGAGGTGTCTGAGTGCTTGATTTGACACACCTCTTTGTGTCCCTGGTTCCATGACTTACGTTGACATTCTACTGTACAGTACCAGGCCTTTTTACAGTTGCCACATCCCCTGAACGCCTCGCCGTCCGTGGATTTTTTATGGCAGGTCGTACAGACGTAAGGGTCGTCCCCTTCATGTACACAGCGCGGACAGTGACACCAGAAGTTGAATGATTTGTATAACCACGCCCTCCTAAGCTTACGGGGCATCGACGTATCAATATAGGTAGTGTAAAGCTCCTCCCCTTTCGTGATGTCTCTTTTGGCGCGAACTATCACGCCTCCGCGATCGTTGACGTAACCGTCGCACACCTCGACGTTGTTTATGCACGAATGATTCAGACACGCGTGGAGCGAGAAAATACCACAAAAGTTTGCTGTTGGTGTCTTAGCCTCGAGTGGTTTCAATAGAGCCAGGACTCGCATGTCCTGTACGTCGACTTTTGACAGCCGGTTGATGAACTGGTGGTAGGGCGTCACTGGGAAGGAGAAGCTTTGGAGGTTACAGGAGGCCTGGTAATACCGTCCTGTGAACTCACCGTCAGTAATCTCATACTTGACGCCGTCACCACAGTCGCTGAAGATGTCGCGAAACAGCTGTAGGACCGTCGACATCTTCGATGAAACGTCACCCGCACCGAATGCGATGAATCTGAAATGTTAAAAATGGTTAATAGGACAGTATTTGGATGGTATTTATATATAGACTTAATTTAACGCTTTAACTTTTTTATAATTTGTTTGTCATAATATAAAATACAGTTTGTTTGTTTTTGCCAAAATATTCTTTGATCAGTGTGAACTTACTTCCTGAAAGGGGCCTTTGCTTTGGCCCAGTGTTCAATAGTAGGTTGCGTACAGCCATCCTTCTTCACGAGTCGTTTGGCCTCCGTCACTATCTGCGCCCACATTCGCGCAAGTATAATTGGACTGAATGATGCAAGCCATAGATTGACTTTCTCGCCTTTCTCGTTGTATCCGTAGCCATAGTTGTCGGCCACCTCGTACAGGGTTTTGGTAGCAGCACACCTGGCAGGACAGATAAGCTGGTGGTATTCTTCCCACGCACGTTCTTTGCATGTGTCCGTACAGAATGTTACGATGTTACATTTGTCACACATGACGGGTGTCACGTCCGGCCATTGGCGCTCAATCAGCTCCTGAACACTCGTGTCGAACGTATCCAATTTTGCTCCAAAATATCTACGTGCCGTTAGCAGCGACTGGGAACAGTAGTCGCAAGCGGGAATCATCTCTTCCACGTCCTTTTCCATCACCCGGCCGAATACCGCGGGCGAATCCTCGAATATGACCTCCCCTTCGGGAATGTCACGTTTGGCGTATATGCCACGACCGTATCCGGAAAAGTCCACGGTTACTGGAAAATCTGTGGTCATTGGGCTGTATATGCGACTGGTACGCACCTTCTGGAAGATAATGGCAGCTTCTTGGTCCTTCTTCTCCGAAAGTGTATAAGCCTTCCTCAGCCAAAACTCGGCCGCTATCGGGTAACCAATCTGACCAAGAACTTTACCTGAATAAAAATAAGTTCAGTTAAACACGTTTTGGTGAAAAGGGAAATTGAAAATGAAAATGTCATAGTTTTCGAATATTAACCTGTGTATCGAGAGAAGTACTTTTAGTTGTTATTACTTGTAGTTTTGTGTATTATACTTCTTTTATTCTACGAAACATCTTATACACGGACCCCTCGGATTTGCATCGAAAAACAAACTATTGCGTTCGAAAGCAGAGTTAAATAGCATTGCTTTTAAATACATTGATTTTTTTTCTATGTCTTTGCATGTTCGGTATTTATGCCACTGTATTAAGACTGCTGTACTTCGTCCTTTTATGTGTAATGGTGTTGAAAATATTTATTTTACAACAATATGAAGAAAATTGTATCGACTTGGTCACTTTTGTTGACCGGGAAAGTAATGCGTGCGCAAGGGGTTTTTATCTGAGAGGAAACTGAAGTAGCCGGAGAAACCCCACGAAAGGCGAGTGCCCTACCCACTACCCAGCCGACCACCCATTGATGTAATGATGTTATAGCACACGCCCTTACCTCCTAACTTCCATGAATCAGCCGTCCGCTCTCCCTTGGGGATCAGCCACAGGTCTTGAATGGCGCCCACCAGGTCCTCATTCAGGAAGCGCACCTCTGCCCTAAGTCGTCGCAGAACCTTATTAGCTGGTTCCAGTTCCACTGCAAGGGTAAAGAATTGCAACGCCTCGGGAAACTTTCCCGCCATCATTGCTCTGTGTGCTTCTACAGCTATCCTGCCTGCTTTCTCAGACCTAAGGGAATCCGGGGGAGGAGCGGGTATGTCCTTCTCCATGTCATACTTCCGTTCTAAAGATTCATATTCTTTCCTTAGCAACACATCGTCCCCGGGGTAGGAGTCTTGCCCACAGAAGTTTACAGCGTCATAGCCTTGTTCATCCGACTCGCCACCCATCTTATCGTAGTCATCCAAGATGACCTGCTGCAGTTTTTTCAGATCTTCCGTAATAACGACACTTTTAGGGTCCGTGTCGAGACCTGCCTTGTAGAAATGATACGCATCTTCATACTTGCCGAGCTTGGTGGAGGCCCGTCCCCCGGTGATGGCGCCCTCTACGTTTTTTGGGTCGATGTCGAGCGCCGTCTTGATGTCCTCTACGACCTTGGTATAGTTGGCCTGTTGGAGGTAACACTTGGCTCTGTTAACGAGGTGGTAGGAACATTCTGGTTCGTCCTCCATGAGGCTTGTGTACAGCTGTATGGCACTGTCATAGTTACCCATCTCATAGTCCCTCAGGGCCGCCGTACTCAAATCTAATACCTTCATCGTGGACACGCCAGGTGACCGTGGTGTATGGGGTTCTTGTTCACGTGCGCTCCTAATAATAGACATACAAATATATGAATATAAACCATAAGCTTGTTTCTACAATCCTCTGAAATAATGTATAAAAATAAAACTTAAAACATAATTATATATTATAAAGTAAATATGCATCTGGAAAATGTGTCAAAAACTAGACAGGCATATTTAAATAAATAATAAAAAATGAATTTTGGCACTCTCTAATGCCAGTTCACCTTTTTGACATTGGAATTATGACTAAAAGTGTTACTGTAACGCCATTTTAAACGCAAGTTGACTTTTACTTTGCAAGTTTTAAATATTCAATAACAGGAAAACAGTTTACAACAGAACGACACATTATACTGAATTCGTATTTTATTAACTGAAGCTCTTTCGATTTTTGATCCCGCAAACTGATCCCCAGTATTATTGCGGATTTCGCCCCCCCCCCCCCCCCAATATATATATAAATATGTATATTGAAAAAAACGTTGATGTTATGTTTAAATATGATCCCTTTGGTTGTTCTCCTTTATTTTGAAACGAGTCTTTTCTTTTTCGTATAGTGAATTACTAATCCAGAGGGACATTGAATGGCTTATGTTTTAGGGCACAATTATTGTGTGTGTTTTGTTACCAGTGGTACCCATATAATATACGGGTTATATCAGTTAGCCAAGAAAACTACCATACGTATGTCTGATAAAAATTAACGTTATAAATATGTGACAGAACAAGTCAATTAATTGTAACTGTACAGGGATAAGGCATACCTCGTGGTAGTGTTACAGTACGTTACCTGGTAGTGTTACAGTACGTTACCTGGTTGTATTTCAGTATGTTACCTGGTAGTGTTACAGTACGTTACCTGGTAGTGTTACAGTACGTTTCCTGGTAGTGTTACAGAACGTTACCTGGTAGTGTTACAGTACGTTTCCTGGTAGTGTTACAGTACCTTACCTGGTTGTATTACAGTACGTTACCTGGTAGTGTTACAGTACGTTACCTGGTTGTATTAAAGTACGTTTCCTGGTAGTGTTACAGTACGTTACCTGGTAGTGAGTGTTACCGTACGTTACCTAGAAGTGTTACAGTACGTAACCTGGTAGTGTTACAGTACGTTACCCGTTACCTGGTAGTGTTACAGTACGTTACCCGTTACCTGGTAGTGTAACAGTACGTTACCTGGTAGTGTTACAGTACGTTACCTGGTAGTGAGTGTTACCGTACGTTACCCGTTACCTGGTTGTGTTACAGTACGTTACTTGGTAGTGTTACAGTACGTTACCTGGTTGTGTTACAGTACGTTACCTGGTAGTGTTACAGTACGTTACCTGGTAGTGTTACAGTACGTTACCTAAGCCTACATGCTCCTGTGTACGAAATATATTCAGTCAATCTTCGATTACTAGTTATCTTGTTATATATCGGTTACACAGTGTTTGATAAGAGCATTGATTATAAAACAAAAGATTTACGTCATGTACGTTATGCTGTGCTTGCCATATGCTGTGGGCGCTGGCACCTGGGACTCTGTCAGTCTGTGCCGCGTGGTTTTAGTGAGTGACGACTGATACAGTAGCACAGTTGGTCAAACAGAGGGGAAAGGGGTTCCCAGCGGTGCCGACATGTGGGGTTGCTTATATACCCACCCACATATTGATGATAGCTTGTTAACTGAATATTTTAATATTAAAGCATGGTTATCTTTCTAAAACCTTTAACCTTGAATGCGATGGCTTGAATTGTGAATATGTGAAACATCGCACGATAAAAACATTATGGTGTCAATATATTAAACACTTGTCAAATCCTCACATTCATTATATTATGATGTTGAAACTAATGCAGAGTGAAGTCAGCTTAAATCACATCACTTCACGACTACACTATACTATAATAATATATACCGAACACGACAAAAGGTTCGCTAAACTTACCCTTTTATGGAATATATAATTATACTGTCTGATATGATACACAGAAATTGAAAACAGCAGTTCTAGATTGCACATAGAGGATGTTACAATGTGTGTAAAGTTAACAATTTGTGCTTCTATACCAGTTATAACTTTACACACGAACACGTAATAGTGTAATAAATACACGCAAGATGTACACGAGCAGCATCAGGCCCACTGGTACAGCATGGCATGAGTTTTGGTAGAACGCCAAATCCATAATGTGCATTTCTAAAACGTCTTCAGGAATATATTTCAAATCCTCTAACTAGACTATAGAGGTCTTTGTAAGACTATTTAATCGCGTTATGTTTTACGCAGACGTTTAAAAAACACATTAGAAGTTATCTCGTCGCTGAGTGCATGCACGTGAAAACCGGCCTTCGCCATCTTCATATTCTATATATAAACACTAGTCTACATTCCAGACCGTGCGTAGTTGCTGTATATACTAGTATAACATAATAGAGTGGTTTAATTTCTTACAGACTAAAAAATTAAATTTCAATAATACGTTATTTCACTAATAGTAGACTTACCTCCTATATAAGTTACTGTAACACTGCACTGAAGTCTGCTGCCCGTTTCGGAAGCCCCGGTAGAAGTGTGACGTCGTGTTGCTAAGTATGGAAAGAAACCCGATATCGAACACATCTGATATTAGCCTGGAGAAAGTTGTAGGTACTGGTGCTGAGAACGGGGCCCTGATGGGGGAGACGCGTGCCGCGGGCGGGGCTCGCAACGGGATATGACATATATACTACACATTAATGCAGTTCGCGGTGTAACAATGTAATGCTCTAATATGTCTTCCATATCAGATCGACACAGGAACATATGTTCATCTAAAATCTCTTCGGGCAAATGTTAAAGCTTAGCTATCCTCAATATTACGGAGGTTAAAAATAAAAGATTTAAAGTTGTATAGAGTGCATTTTAACTCTCCAATTTTTGACAAATTTTAAGCTAAGATATTTGCATGAAAACAAAAGATCCAAGAGGGATGTATAGGCGCCAACCATCGTAACATCTTCATAAGTTCTAAGTTTAATATTTTCTGCACTATTCTTTAATCGAAATCTGTTTGATTTATAGTTATGATCGCATCATGTTGTGACTTTTGACAAAGACTTCATACTTCGGTGTTTCCTTTCAATTTTAGGATGTATTTTGACCCATGACTATAAGTATCATACTAAAAGAAAGAACAATAAGAGGGATTCCTGATTCATGACGGTCATGTTTATGATTATCTTTTAATCAAACTTTTTTTTTTCTAATAATCTCTTCGTATAAAGCAAACTTCAACGGCCAAATCCAAGATGTCCAGAGGCGTAGCATACACTTCCTGTCTGATTAAACATACATTTCATAAAGAGGTATTTGAAATAATGCAAGTTCAACATATTACAGTAAGTGCTTTCAAAATATGAGATCCAAGGAGGGGAGAGGGGGTTGACGCACACCATCGAAAGATCAGCTCTATCTTAAATTGATCTTTTCCGTTCCTTTCTCTTATCTTTTGGACTTTAAAGTCTTGTCAACAGTAAATGCACCTTGTGGTAGTGATTAAAATCATAATAATGGGTTTTAGACTTTTCTTTCAAAGTGAAGACATTATTTACATTTTGAAATACGGATAAAAAAACTTGAACTCTCAAAATAAAGATGGTAACGGGAGGCAATCTCGTTTTCTCAGTCTCAAAATCAAATATACACAACTATTGACCAAGGAAAACCTACACATGAAATTCGATAAAGATCTGTTGTTAATTATAGTACTTTTTTGTTATAAAAAAAACCTACTCCAACAATGTTAAAGGTTTTACACGGCGAAAAACTTTTGACAGGCGCCGCGTAACCTCGTCGCAGTCGGCAAAATCATATCCGATTGAAAAAAGGCCGACCAGCGGCCTCTCATGTTATGGGAGTAAAAAAAACACCCAACCTGAATAAAATACTATCTCTGGCGATTTCAGGGGTAGTTTGGGGGCCATTGATAACATTCCTGTTATAGGAAACGAAAGCACACCCTGACCACGGAATTAGATTATCTAAGTCCGTGGGAAACCCTTGACACGATCCAGTCCATCAACCCGAGTTGTGGTAATGGTGGAGAAGAGGGGATATTGTTAAGCATGTGCACTGTACAAGTAAACATAATTTCAAAGTCATGTTAAATAATTACCGGCTTCTCAGCTAGAGGGGATTTCCAGTAAATCGTCGGACTGGAGAGTCTTGTGTTGCAATAGTTTGAGCCCCAACACGTTACAACAGACATATATACAGTTATTGTACAAAGATATAAAAGTTACACAATAAATTCACATGACGTTAAGCTTCTTTTATTCAAATCAAATATGCATCCAGACTATTACTAGTCTAACCCTGTATATATATATATTTGACACAGCTGTACTTCTCCTCACGGAATGTACAATGCACTCTACAACCTTTATCGTATCATGTTTTCTTATTCTGTGGTCAACATTTTGGTGATGTATCAATTTTACATATAACATGACTTTCATTATACATGCACTTTAAATGCAAGTCATTATTTTTTTTCAATGACTTGACCAGGAGTAGAATCCGGGACCTCTGGCTTACTAGTCTTACACTCTACCAAATGAGCGGAGTGGATAGGAAGCAGCGGCTAGAATTTTACAAGGTGACAGTAATATAGGCAGCTATACATAAACAAGTTCAAAGTTGTTTGGTAGAGAACAAAATGCTTTGTTGTAAATTACCTGTACATGCCATCAACATCAATAACTAGCTGAATTGATAACATTTGAAGAGCTCAACACCATCAAATTCTGTTTGTTATTCTGATTGTTAAATCAAGTTGTAACATTTCTTTATTATTGATGAATTAGATCTCAACTCCAATGACATCAGGGTATAGCCATGCACATATAGAATATATATATAGGTTAAGCTGAATATGGAGGCTATACCATGGCATAGCTTATTTGGCATTTTGAGCTAGGTGAACTGACAAATGCAGTGTATAAATATCAAAACTTATAAAAAATGCAAAAAATAATAGTATAGCAACACATACCAAAATCATAATGTAAAGCTATAAACTGGCAATAATTTAATGGTACACTTGTTATCAATATCAATAGATAAATATTTGTATTGTGTATAAGATGTATAATGTATTCGTAATGCCCACAGGGACCTGATAATTTGTTACAGCTATATTAGGACCTACATTAGTGTATTCAGAGTACCAGAAGAGGACCTACATTAGTGTATTCAGAGTACCAGAAGAGGACCTACATTAGTGTATTCAGAGTACCAGAAGAGGACCTACATTAGTGTATTCAGAGTACCAGAAGAGGACCTACATTAGTGTATTCAGAGTACCAGAAGAGGACCTACATTAGTGTATTCAGAGTACCAGAAGAGGACCTACATTAGTGTATTCAGAGTACCAGAAGAGGACCTACATTAGTGTATTCAGAGTACCAGAAGAGGACCTACATTAGTGTATTCAGAGTACCAGAAGAGGACCTACATTAGTGTATTCAGAGTACCAGAAGAGGACCTACATTAGTGTATTCAGAGTACCAGAAGAGGACCTACATTAGTGTATTCAGAGTACCAGAAGAGGACCTACATTAGTGTATTCAGAGTACCAGAAGAGGACCTACATTAGTGTATTCAGAGTACCAGAAGAGGACCTACATTAGTGTATTCAGAGTACCAGAAGAGGACCTACATTAGTGTATTCAGAGTACCAGAAGAGGACCTACATTAGTGTATTCAGAGTACCAGAAGAGGACCTACATTAGTGTATTCAGAGTACCAGAAGAGGACCTACATTAGTGTATTCAGAGTACCAGAAGAGGACCTACATTAGTGTATTCAGAGTACCAGAAGAGGACCTACATTAGTGTATTCAGAGTACCAGAAGAGGACCTACATTAGTGTATTCAGAGTACCAGAAGAGGACCTACATTAGTGTATTCAGAGTACCAGAAGAGGACCTACATTAGTGTATTCAGAGTACCAGAAGATCTGCTTTCAATAAAAAGCCACCTCCAATCATATATACACGTTTAAGGGGTTTTCGATAAACTTTGAGTAAAAATGCCATTATCTGAATTTATCTACAGTTATATAATTATCAATAGTTATCATGTTAGTTTTTTTTCCAGTTAGGAATACTAATGGTATTTTTTGTGTTTTTATTACAAGTATTTTTGGAGTGTTATGCAATTACATGTTGTCAATACATGTACTAGTAAATGTTATTAAGGAGGCCTGGTAGTCTAGTGGTAGGACGCAGGGCACATGACCGAAGGGTTGTAAGGGTTGTGGGTTCGAGTCACGGCACTGTGTTGTATCTTTGAGCAAGATACATGTACTTAACTCCGCTTGTTCCAGTCTACTTATAATGAGTACATGGTTGGGCAGTGCTAGAACTGTTGAATGCTAGCTGTGAGCGCCGAAATGGCAGCACCAGCTGTCTGCTCCCCAGGGAGTTGAGAAAGATATTGGCTTGTTACAAAGGCCCTGTAACCAGTAGTTCTAGTTACTTACTTATACTAAGTGATATTAATGACATTGAGAGACACATCAATTTTCTCATATTAAATTGCACTAAATGGTGAAATTATCTACAATTTGTATTGTTATATATTATAAATATTATTTATTTAAGCATGTACATGCAGACAACAAGAGAACACAAGTTTTCCAGTCACTGTAACATATAACCTTACATTCACCTAGTCATTAATGTGAGATCAATATAACCAGCATTTGATACATCATAATGGCACTCTTATCTTACAGTCTGTATGAAAATATCAACTAGGAGTTAAATATTTACACTATTCTCAAAAATCATGGCAATGAAATATGACTACCTACAGGTATCTTCTGAAATATCTTTATAATCTGCATATATTTTCCTATTGCTGGAACATACTTTTATTTATTATAACATTGGACATTTCCGCATGTTGAAATGTTCCCGTTGTGGTTCTTTTGATCGCAATGTGGAAATGTTTGCTTTGGTAATGGTTCTGTAATCCATATATCTTAAATCTATTTATTACATTTTTGCCAGTGACATAACTGATTATATTACATACTTACTAATAAATACGTTTTTTTTTGTATATGCGATACGACACAATTGCCCTAACCCATATCAACCCTCGCCGTATCATACCCCAAAACCCTTATCAGCCTGCAAAACCTGTATCACACCCTTTTTGGAAATTTTTCGTTTTTCAATATTTCAAAAGAAAAATAGATCTAAAGATAGTAGTTTTTATGAGTAAGTATGTAATAAACAGAATAAAACACGGCTATTTCCATATCACATCCAGTATCAAACCTCGACCAATATCAGCCCTCGGGCTGATATTGCAGTCTCCAGTTGATACTAGGTGTGGTATGGAAAAAGTCATGTATTATTCTCTATAAATATATATACCTGTATGTGTACATAGTATTATAAATGTTTGCACTACTATCTTATACAACATGAAAACCTGAGCATTTCCACTTTCACAGTAGTCTGAACATACTTTTATATATAGATATATACTCTAATCACACATATCTTATTTAGTCAGATAGTTTGAGATTTATCCTCAAATTTAACCTGAATATATATATTCAATATATCTTTCTGTTTTTATCACCAGTTTGCTATTAGATTACACAATAGGAAGCACACAGGTAGAGGCCCAACCCATACAAAGACCAGCAGTGTGATGTTATGATAGGCTCTGATCACGTACCAGTGTGATGTAATGATAGGCTCCCATCACGTACCAGTGTGATGTAATGATGGGCTCTCATCACGTACCAGTGTGATGTAATGATAGGCTCTCATCATGTACAAGTGTGATCTAACGATAGGCTCTCATCATTTGCCAGTGTGATGTAATTATAGGCTCTCATCATTTGCCAGTGTGATGTAATTATAGGCTCTCATCACATACCAGCGTGATGTAATGTTAGGCTCTCATCATGTACAAGTGTGATGTAGCGATAGGCTCTCATCATTTTCCAGTGTGATGTAATCATAGGCTCTCATCATCTACCAGTGTGATGTAAATATAGGATCTCATCATTTACCAGTGCGATGTAATGATAGGATCTCATCACATACCAGTGTGATGTAATGATAGGCTCTCATCATGTACAAGTGTGATGTAACGATAGGCTCTCATCATGTACCAGTGTGATGTAATGATAGGCTCTGATCACTTACCAGTGTGATGTAATGATAGGCTCTCATCACGTACCAGTGTGATGTAATGATAGGCTCTTATCACATTCCAGTGTGATGTAATGATAGGCTCTCATCACATACCAGTGTGATGTCATGATAGGCTCTCATCATGTACAAGTGTGATCTAACGATAGGCTCTCATCATGTACCAGTGTGATGTACTGATAGGCTCTCATCATGTACCAGTGTGATGTAACGATAGGCTCTCATCATGTACCAGTGTGATCTAATGATAGGCTCTGATCACTTACCAGTGTGATATAATGATAGGCTCTCATCATGTACCAGTGTGATGTAACGATAGGCTCTCATCATGTACCAGCGTGATGTAATGATAGGCTCTGATCACATACCAGTGTGATGTAATGATAGGCTCTTATCACATTCCAGTGTGATGTAATGATAGGCTCTCATCATGTCCCAGTGTGATGTAATCATAGGCTCTCATCACGTACCAGATTGATGTAATGATAGGCTCTCATCACATACCAGTGGGATGTAATGATAGGCTCTCATCACGTACCAGCGTGATGTAATGATAGGCTCTGATCACATACCAGTGTGATGTAATGATAGGCTCTGATCACATACCAGTGTGATGTAATGATAGGCTCTTATCACATTCCAGTGTGATGTAATGATAGGCTCTCATCACATACCAGCGTGATGTAATGATAGGCTCTCATCATGTACAAGGGTGATGTAACGATAGGCTCTCATCATGTACCAGTGTGATGTAATGATAGGCTCTCATCATTTACCAGTGTGATGTAATGATAGGCTCTCATCATGTACCAGTGTGTTGAATATATGGTTCAACACACTTTTACCGATTTGTACAGAAAATTGATTAGGCATTCAGAAAATAAAATCAACTTTAAATAAGTACTATACACAGGGACATTTTTGCCCAGTCAAATTTTGGCCCTTCGACGGTAAAATCCATTTTCTCCGATATTAAATTTGCCCTTGACATTTAATTACTGAGTATAATATGTTGTTTACAATCGTTTACTGTGATGATAAAGTGGCCAACATTACGGAGGGAAAAAGGCGAAAACTAAACTGCAGTGGAAATTTCTTGGTATACAGTATTATTCCACGCAGCAGTTTCAATCCATCTTCAAATCTGAGCTCCTTTACTTTGAGCACACTATCTTATCTTTTATAATGTTGTGTAATCAATATAAAGTAAGAGGAATAAAAAAAATCGACTAGATTTCAAATCAAGTTAATTTTTTTCTCTTCCTATTAAAATAAACGAAGACAATGTAAACCCTTTCTAGTGATCATTTATCGATATCGCAGCTAGCAAGTCATCAGTGTTAATGATCACATCCACATTCTTCACAGTAAACTCTTCATCTGGTTAATGAAAACATCACATCAATATATATTATTTACTCCCTCACATCCACAACTGCAGTAAACTTTTCATCAGTCTTGGTATATATAGATATCACAACCTGCATTTAGTCATACATGTAGTAAACCAAGGGACAGGGAGGCTGTTTCAGTTAACTCCCTCACATCCACATCCAGTCATGGTAACTCTACAAAATGGCTGTTCCAGTTAACCCCCTCACATCTTCAGTCACAGCAACCCAACAAAGTGGCTGTTCCAGTTAACTCCCTCACATCTAGTCACAGCAACCCTGCAAAGTGGCTGTTCCAGTTAACTCCCTCACATCCAGTCAAAGTAACCCCACGAGGTGGCTGTTCCTGTTAGCTTTCTCACATCAACAGTTGAAGTAACCCCACAATGCAGCTGTTCCATTTAACTCCCTCACATCCACAGCCGCAATAACCCTACAAATAGGGTGGCTGTTCCAGCTATGGCTCCTGACAACAAAATACTCTAGAATTAGTACACAGGTTATGTAATATGGCATCCTTGTTAAAACGAAACAGTCTACACTCAACACCTTGCACATGAACCAATTTATTTTTAATTGACATTAGATCTGTATCCATTACCAATACTTTTTGTAAACCATATATTCGAGTCAGAGATGAAATGATTTCTTTCGATCTAGAAAACAATAAGCATTGAAACAAATGTAAATTAAAATAAAGAGATATCTTCAGGAAGTCTTCACTGTTCTTTAAAACAAAGACAAGGACATTGTTAGACCCACCAGCAGCATATTTGAAGACATCATTGCGGTACGTTTCTATCTTGGTGTGCAGAGCAGCAGTGTCGGTGACAATCTTGTTGTTGAGAACTTGTAATTCTTTCCGGTTTTCTGCATGCTGAAGTAGAACATATCTAAATTTAGTATTTGGTACTTCAAATGTACAACACTTCAAATTTTCTGAAATTCTCTTCTTTTTAAAAAAAAATCTAGATCATGTCTTTTTTATGATGTTATAGATTCTACCATTGAGCCATTTTTTCCAAATGTCCTTCATTTGCTGTTATGGCTTGAGCGTGTAATGTTGGCATATATAGTTTGATAGAGTAACAACTAGTTTCATGTTGGATTCATTAATGAGATTTAACTTACTCTAGTGAAGTATGAAATATCATATCATATTATTCTATATCGTAATAAGTACTGTATACATAATGCACAGCAAATTTACTGTTTCTTCTTTTGTAGGGAAAGAAGTGGAAATTTAATTAAACCCCATTTGTCACTTTCAGAACTAACTTAATGATGAAAAAGGTTTGAGCTATTCAGCTACTTAAAACAGTATTACCTGTCTAACCTGAACACTACCAGTAGTCCAGTTCCAATATTTTCTGTAACAGAGTGCTTTTCAGTATAAAGGGTCAATCCCCTTGATGTTTTGGTTTCTTAATTATGTATAGCTTGACTAATATATGTTAACTCTTTCCTTACCGTTGTCGTACAATGTCGCGCACACACGACAACAATATGTGCTTCCTGGTCCCCGTTGTTGTGTACAGATGACAATAAATATGGCATCTGATCCCCGTTATAAGATACTTTAGTGTAACGTGTCTTATGTTTAGCTGGTTATAGCACCCGACAGTCATGTAATCCAATTGAGTGTCGCTTAAATCAGCACCCATCAGTTGGCAACAATATTTTTTATAGGTACAGAGTATAATTTTTTCATTATGTAACCCATAATGTTCGAATTTGCCGCAAGATGTTGCGTTTAGTGGTCTCCGATCTAACCAATATGGCGGTGACTGAATTTGATACGAACACTGGTAAATTCATAACCAAATATTTATTGAGACTTTTTGAAGTAATTATGGATATTTTAATACAAGTCACGATAAAATCTACTTGTATTTAGAAAAAAATTAACAACTTCTTAACCAAAATCTATCCCCATTCGGGACCTGCAATTAATGCTGTTTTGAACACGATGAATAATACCGTTTGTTGTCTAACAAATGTCGATTTCTCAGTCATTATCAGCTGCCAGCTAGTCAAAATGCTGCGAAAATGAAGACTTGTATGTCTTTGAACAACAACATAAAACAATAGCAACATTGGTTCAGGGTTACCTATTTATCAGTGACACCTCATCTAGAAAATACATTAATAATCCGCTATTTGGTTATATGCGCTGGGGTAAGTCTAGTTAGGACATCCGGAACAGAGTTGCAGTACAGAAAGAATTAAACAGTATTAGTATTGTGGAAGCAAGTTTTCTGATTTGTTACAAGGTTCCTAAGAATGTGTAACCTGCTTTTACCAAATCCTGCATAATGCAGAAACCTGTACCAATGACCACGGGTCCTAGCTGCTACAACTATAGGTCACTCCATACATATTCTTTATCCTAACCTGTGTATTGAGAAAACCTGTGGGTACAGGTCTGTAGGAGTTTCTGTTTGAATAGTTACTACAGTATGACGTTAAGATAATACAAGAGGCCCAAGGGCCTTAGCGGTCACCTGAGTTATATCATAGGTACTGGTAGCTTTATTTTATTGTTTAGATGTGATGTGGAATTCAGCATGTAAACTAAGGGAAAAATAATACTTGTCATGTCATCAAATGATAATTTATTTTAAAAAATGGTAAATTTTCCCTTTTGGGCCCCGCCCTAGCCCCTGGGGATAGGGCAGGAATCCCAATTTACAATGTGATACCCTCATAAACCAAAAATAATTCTGACCAAGTTTGAATAATTTCCTACCGAAAATTGTCAAAATATACACAGAAGTGTTATTTCCCTGTATAATTAAACTATAGTAAACTTTACCCCTCCCCAAGGCCCCGCCCTGGCCCCTGGGGTTTGGGTAGGAATCCCAATGTTACAATTTGAAACCATCTTCCTCCCAGGATAACTTTTACAAAGTAAGAATAATTTCCTGCAGAAAATTGCCAAAATATACATAAAAGTGTTATTTCCCTATATAAACTATAATAAACTTTTCCCCCTCCCCAAGGGAGAATGGATAGCTTGGGGGTCCTGAAATTTACAATTTAAAGAAAGCCCCTGATGATCTTTCCATCCACGCAGAGAAAAAAAATGTAGTACCTCTGAGTCTGGAGAAGAAGATTTTTGAAATATTGGTTAATTTTTCCTTTGGGGTCCCGCCCTGGCCCTAGAGGTTTGGGTATGAATCCCAATTTTACAATTTGAAACAATCTTCCTCCAAGGATAATTTTCACAAAGTAAGAATATTTTCCTGCAGAAAATTGTCAAAATATACACAAAAGTGTAATTTCCCTATATTAACTATAGTAAACTTTATCCCCCTCCCCAAGGGCGAACGGATAGCTCGGGGGTCCTGAAATTTACAATTTAAATAAAGCCCCTGATGATCTTTCCATCCATGCAGAAAAAATTACTGCAGTACCTCTGAATCATGAGAAGAAGATTTTTGAAGTAATGGTTAATTTTCCCTTTGGGGCCCCGCCCTGGCCAAGGGGTTGGGGTAGGAATCCCAAATTTAGATTTTTGTAACCTCATCTACTAAGGATGATTCTGGCCAAGTTTGAAAAAAAATCCATCTGCTGGTTCTTGAGAAGAAGTTGAAAATGTAAAAAGTTTACGCACGACGGACGACGATGGACAGAAATGCGATCAGAATAGGTCACTTGAGCAAAGGTCAGGTGACCTAAAAAGGTTACACTCACAGCTTCAGTACTCCGACTCTTCTCCAGATTTATGTCAAGAACAACATTGTTTTTAAGTTTCCCCACCTCATCTTGTAAGGTTTGCTGGAACTGTTTGATCTGCATGGTTTGTTTCTGTAAATAAATAAATCATTCAAATATCTCACATTTCAAAAAAACATTTAAGACAACAATTGTCAATGTTGTTATTTTTGTTAATAAGAGTAAGATGTGGTTACCTGGTCCTTTTGTTATGGTTGAGGAAATAAAGAAGACCATGTGCTAGGTCATGTTTTTAAATAGGAAAACTGTGATGTGAATTTCAACCAGTCAAAATAAATTCACTGATGACTGGAATAATGTGTATTCAGTTTACAATATCCTGAATTTAAATATCAAATAATTAAAAACTTCAATCACAAATATGGTATATTGTCACATTTAAACATATTATAAAATCAACTACTGCTTCATTTCTTAACTCTAATCTTTGATACCTGTTTCACTCTGACAGACAGACGTATAATAACTTCCCTCTGTTTCACTCTGAGGGAGACAGTGGTATTATAACTTCCCTCTGTTTCACTCTGAGGGAGACAGACGTATAATAACTTCCCTCTGTTTCACTCTGAGGGAGACAGTGGTATTATAACTTCCCTCTGTTTCACTCTGAGGGAGACAGACGTATAATAACTTACCTCTGTTTCACTTCGTAGCATGGAGAACTCACTCTTCTCTAGGATCACCATGTCCTTCTTCACTGAGGCAATGTGAGACATAAGCTGTTGGACAGTGATCTCCTGTGAATATATGGTAAAGAGAGCGATATGTCGATAACTTCACTGAGGCAATGTGAGGCATTAACTGTTGGACAGTGATCTCCTGTGAATATATGGTAAAGAGAGCGATATGTCGATAACTTCACTGAGGCAATGTGAGACATTAACTGTTGGACAGTGATCTCCTGTGAATATATGGTAAAGATAGCCATATGTCGATAACTTCACCGACAAGGATGACATCATTGTGAATGCATTGCTTATAATTTGACGCCTGTTAAACACTTTGCAAAATAGATGCAACTATTTCCTGTGATTAACCTTGTCTGTTGATTTCTCTCCAAAATTTCATTGTTATAAAATACCTGGTACCTCCACAGCAGGTAGGTAAACCCATTCATAAGCATTTTGTTTTCAATATTAGTAAAGAGTTTATTTATTTCCCTTGGGTAACTGAACCATGGTTTGTATGATGCCATATGAGAGCATTGTTATGATTGGATGCAAGGGTTGGTCCTATGGCAGACTATTTAGACTTCCTTCATAAAAACCATGGTTGAATTACCCAAAGCAAAAATGATATATATGCCCACAACTTAAGTATTTTGGGAGAAGAAATATCAGTTAATTTTGTCCTGAAGAAACTAAGCCCACTGTAGGGACATAACTGGTTGACACTTCTAACGAACTACAAAAACTTCCTGTTTCTTCACCTGTGGTGATTGAATCTATGACTATATGTAGCCCATTTTACACATCCGCCCTGCACACCTTTTGGTATGCAGAAAAGGGAAGAGGACCAGATTATTCCACCATTGGCTCTACCCTTAACTTTAGTAAACCTGTTGAAGCTGTTGGAACTTGAAGAATTATGTTCAATACCAATACATGTATACGTATAAGGACTAAATAATGTTGTAACGGATGCGTGCCTACAGTTCGTTACCAAGTTCTTTCTTGGACCCAGTAATTGTTGTAACAAACAAGTGCCGACAATATATACAAAATAACGGCCGTCTTTCTGACTCAAATAACTATTACCTAATCTACACCCGGTAGATATTTTACATTAATATACCTCTAACACTAATATAGTCAAAAAGCCAACTAAAACAACTGTATACAATATATCCGTCACCCTGTATCAACAGTAAATAGCCCCTTACTGCGACACCCGTGACTGTGTACACCCTTTACCGCGACACACCTTGACCACGTCACCCTTTACCGCGACTGCCGTTTGACCAAGTCACCCTATAGCTAGCCACTATAAAACCTATGCCTTGGTAAACCCTGTGTCTTGGTACCTGACACCCTGTATCAACAGTACGTCGCCCTGTACTGTGATACCCTGTGACTATGCACACTATACTGTAACACAATTTATTTTGACCATGTACTATAAAGGAATACAGTGGAACCCTAGCTTATGCAGCTAGGCCCAAACTTATACAGCTTGGTCACTGATTACCTTTTTAGAGTTGTTCCTTCTTCTTCGACCGCCAGAGCAAGAGAAGCTTTTCATCTGATGGAACCTCTATTTATATACCTAGCCATCCAATGAAATGCCTTCTTTCATTAGCCAATCAAAACTACTCTTACTTCCTAATTACAAAGAAATAACTAAAGCAAGTCTATACTAACGATCATTTATTGAACAATGTAATTAACAAAGAATCAACCGCTTCATTACCCACGCCTCTGATTCAATGCGTCCCGCATTCACAGTAAGTAAAAGAGCAAATGTATATTTTTGTTT